TTAGCACGTCAATGTAATACCTATACAAAACCGTGTAGTTATCGATAAGCGACATGCAACATGCCACAGTGCAATATTCAATGTTAGCTTGTGCTTTTGACATGCTGTGTAATGGTGTATGAATGATTGACATGCTTTCCTACGGTGTGGTTCGGTGCGTATGAGTAACAATGAAAACTCAAGTGAGCAGTGACCATTGACTTAGTTAGTGTTGAAGAGAGTATATATTAACTAACACTTGTATGCGATGTGGTAGGTTGTAATCAAGTGGGACATGTGTATGATTATATAGTACGTGTGGCATTTGTGTTGCGAATTCATCAATGTTGTGTTAGTTAGTGTTAACGGCGCGCTCTTATTTGTTTAATAAGATTTTAAGGTATTTTTTTTATTTTGGGTTACATATATTTGGCTTTTATGAGACTTGGTTTTCGGTAGACGCAGTTCATCTTTATTAAAAAAAAAAAATTAATCTAAAGAAATCAATGAGTCCTTTGGTACTAATTTTTAAAGTACCATATACAATTTTCTCTCCTGCACTTCTCTTTCGAAAATCATTTATTTACTAGTTGCATCAACTGAAAGCAAAGAAGAAAGGCTAAAATGCGCACACACTCGCTCTTACGCAATAGGAAAAATGACACAACTTATTAGTGGCGCGAAAACATATGTAAATGGGCGTTGGTAAACGTGTGACAACGCAGCTGCACTTAATTATAAAGAGATATTCATATAATGTAGGCGTTCGTCATTGTATAGACACAGCAACATTTATAGGAGGGTCTTTTATACGATTTTTGAAGTAACATTATATTTTCAAGAATTACAGAAGTAAATGTGTTTTTCCTAACCTACAATTCAGCTCATAAGCAAATGTGTTAGCAAATTTCTTTCAAAATGCATAAAAGGAATCTCAATCTCTCCTCCTTTATAAAATAGCGTGCTACGCCCCTTTACTTACATATTACCAACTACATTGCTACGCTTCTATATTAATATAATTGTGCGCGGGAATAAGCACACACGCATAACACTCACACTTCAGCACGACTGCGTTGTAATTGCACACCACAAAGTCATCAATCGCTATCAGTTCAACCAACCGCTGCGGCTTTGAGCGACACAGCCTTTTAAACACGCATACACATATACAAATATGGTATAACATGCGACCGCTACAGCGTGTAATTAATGAAATCAATTATGGAATAACACAGTACATATCTACATATGTAAGCATGTACTTATGTATGTGAGTGTAAGAAAAATATTTGCTGTCATGTCAGCGCTCGTAAGTTGGCTGCGGACACATGCCGACATACAAGTCTGCTATGTATGTTTGCGGCTCATTGATTACGCTGTGAGAGCCGCCACTGCGTATACGTAACATTTGAACCGAAGGAAGTGTGTTGCTTTTTATAAGGAGCTTTTACTCTGCATTTGTATACTACAACTTTATGGATGTTAAGAGTAAAATTAATTACAGTGCTATACAAAATGTAAAAAACAAATTGATTGTAGGTACATTTCGCAATTATTTAAGGCACAAAATGTATGCATTTATCTACAATGTGTATGGAATTCTCTAAAGGGTTTGAGATTTTGGTGCTTTGCCTGAATGAAAACAAGTTTAATATTTTTAATTGACATTTGAATTCAAATTTCTGGTAAAGAAAAAATCAGAAGATACTTATGTAGAACATATTTGATACTGGAAAATGGAAATTCAATAATAAGTAAGGATGGACTAAGTTAGATCGTGACATAGTACGGTAAACAGAAGACTTAAAAAGTTATTGTGAAACGTGTAAAAATGGTATTTGGGAACAGCATACATTCTCGGTAACAAATTAATATATTCGTGAAATAGGTGGAAGGCTTTAAACCGATTTGGCTAATGAATAATATGTAGGAAACCTTATTCGGCTATCTGACTTATGCTTAAGCTATCTACCTCCAACAAATGCGGTACTGTATTTTGGTACGGGTAGTCGTGGTTTGACGTTTTTTTAAATGTGGGCGGGGTCACGCCCTACTAAAGGTGTATCAACCAAACTCGCTATGAACAATTCTTTTTAGCCGTCCACATACAGTGAGAAAATGAGTAAATTCGGCTGGTGACCAGGCTTAGTTACACTATTACGGTAAAATTGAAAACTTGCGATAACACAACAAAGTTGATTCGAAAGGGCATTCTAGGAACCCGCGTCCAAATTTGACAATGGGTATGGCACCGCGCACTTTTAGGTGAAATCCAATCTCTCAGGAACTACTCGACCCATTTCAAACAAAATTGATGAGTAATTTTATCCCACTATTTTTATGAAAATGGGTGCAATCGGTCTTCAATCACACCGATCTCTCATAAAACGCAATTTTCAATTCCATATTTTTCTTTAACTTTACAATATAAATCTAAGAAATGCCATTTCATGTCCAAAAATTGTCGAGGACGAACCATAACTTCCTCTGACATCGGACAGAACTCCCAGAGATCGAATATGTAGACCGCAGTGACTTTTTACCGAAAGTTTTCGGCAATCTGTGAAATTTATGATTGAAATGGTAAAGATGTGCTACTGTGTCCAAAATTAGATCAATTCCCCTAGCACTCATATATCCAAAATAAAAATGTTTAACTTCAGGTTGGGTTCATATCGTATATTCCGGTATATATGTATGCTATCTTAGTTAAATTCAGATAATTTTTTTGTGATAATAAGTTTCTAACACTCAGAAAGAAATGACTCAAATCCTATAAAATTTATTTGTCCAGCGCGCTGAGCTCAGTTGATTTAGCCATGTCCGTCTGTTTGTGCAGACGCGATCTTGTCCCTCAGTTTTTGAGATATCGCTCTGAGATTTCGCAAACATCTTTTTCAATCAAATAGTCTGCTTATTTGTAGGAACGGCCGATATCGGACCATTAAATCATACAGCTGACATACAAACTGAGCGATCAAAATCAGGCTGTTGTATTAAAATTTTTTTTGTTAGAAAAGATATCGAAACGAAATTTAGCAGATATTGTTTCTTAAACTAACCCTTAAATATCTGGAGAAATTTTCCAGATCCGACTACTATGTATTATAGCTGACATACAAACTGAGCGATCAAAATCTAGTGGTTATATGGAAACCTTTCATTGTGAAGAATTTCTAACTTCGGTGCAATGTTTTTTCTTATTTTATATACAGTTTTGTCAAGAATTTAAAATATTTCCCCGATTTAATCTTTTTAACTGATTCTTAGACAATTCCAATATGATAATATCGCCAGTTTTTCGACGGTTAAATAAGTTTTTTTGAAAGATATCTCTCCTCTGTGTGACCTTTGATATAGTATGTGATTTTAACAAGCTATCGCGAAATTTTATTGATCTTCTAAATAGTTGGTCCAGATCAAAATCTAGCTGTTATTGTATAGGGCTGAAAAACTCTATGAATTAAATAAAAATTATGCATTATTTGGTTGACTAATTTATAAAACGTCTTTTCCCAAAATGATCACATTTTTATTTATTTACGAGATTTATTTTCTTAATTTACATTCTTACTTTTGCAAGTTTTCCATATCCATTAACATACTCGTATATATGTAGGAATATGTAGCCAGAGGATGAAAATATTTTACTGTGAGTGTGTGAATTCACAAAACTCTGCCGCAACTTGAATAATTTATTCAAAAGAGCAAGAAAATGAAAAATGTGTGCCATAAACACAATTGACTTTATTTATTTAAATAAAACCTCATACAAATTGCATATATTTCTCGGCTTTGCGCACCATGCAGCACCGCTGCGTATGAGCAACTTTTCATCAAAACACTAATGCATGCATACATATGCAAACATGTGTGAGAGCAGCAACAAGTTTTTGGGCACAATTTATTTGCATTCAAATTGTAATCACATGCAACAAAAATTGTGACTGCTATAGTAATGAAAAACAATGACGTTGACAAGCAAATGCAATAACAGCAACATGCAAATGTGTTTACTTGTGAATATGAGCAAGCAAAATCTAAATTCAGTTATTTTCAACAAATTTTTATCTCTTATAGATTTCATGCATTTTTCATGACACAGCAAGAAGCGATCCTTGCCGCTATTGTTGTTGCCATTGTGGACCAGCACATTGGTACACTTGCACAAATTTAATATTCAAGAAGGCTGGCTGTTGTTGCGGTGTGGCGAAGCCATTGTTTTCATATTTTTCATTCATGTGATATTGACTAAAAATCAAATCATCATTCGCAGCAGTAGTGGTAACAACAACAACAGCATCAGTGTGGCAAATGCAGCAGCAATGGAATGCCAGTTGCAGTTACTCACTGGTGTGGCTTTGCCAGCTTCCTTGCATGTTTCAGCTGCAGCAAGTAGGGCGCCAAATGCAAGTGCCACAAATGTATGCATATGCATGCCACAGGCAGTAAAGCAAACTGTGCAGGCACAAATACATATGTATGTGTTCGAGTATGTGTATGCGCTCAAGTATGAGTGTAAACACGTTCTATATATACATATAATAACAATAAAAAAAAAATACGTTAACTTCGGCTGCACTGAAGCAATAATACCCTCCACAAATGCGTTTCTTGTAGCATGAAAGTGTAAAAAATAATCTCTATCTTAATTTTGATCGGTAGTTTGTATGACAGCTATATGCTAAAGTGGTTCGATCTGAATGATTTTTTCTAAAAATGCATTATTTTTTTAAAGCAATAACCTATGCTAAATTCCGGGAAGATATCTTTACAAATAAAGAAGTTTTTCATACAAGGATTTAATTTTGCTCGTTCAGTTTGTATGTCAGCTATGTGCTATAGTGATCCGATATCGGCTTTTCTGTCAAATGTGCAGAAAAGGATGTGTGTTAATTTACAGCTCAATATCTGATAAACTAAGGGACTAGTTCATTTATATACAGATAGAAGGACGGACCGACTAAAATGGCTAAATCGCCCTTGTTTAGGGTATAAAAATACCTATGTAAGCTTACCTTGATGTTTTGAATACTTAGCTGCACCTCAACTGCATTTCTTTACAATTTAGTTTATTTATTTATTTTTTTCATTTTCCCTGCGGCACACAAGCATACTTAAACTGTGGTTTGTATCAGTATTCCATGTGCATGCGGCGCTGTGGTAAATGCGAAATTATTTTACTGGCCAACCGAGTCAACAGCATGTTCACGACGTTGTCTTATGCATAAACATTGGCGATGTTGCATCTTTAATACACAGAGGACGGCATTAGTAGCAACAATGATGTTTATGGCAATGTAAGACAGCTGCTTGTTCTTATGCTCCGGACGATTGTTATGATGTTTACACTGCAAAATAAAATGAAAGAAAAATAAAAGTACGATTTGTATATACCTGTAGTTAAATAGTTGTATGATGTTGTAAAGTGGAAAGGTGGGACTTAAATTTTGCTGGCTAAAAGGTTAAGGATACTGAAATGAAATTTCGAATAAAACTACCTTAGTAAAATACGGTATGAAGTACCATATATTCTAAGGAGCTGGAGCAAAATAATTGAAATGAACTTTGCTATTTAATATAATATTATTATTTTTAATATGCTACAATATACGAGTGGCATATGTATTAGAAATTTACGTCGCTACTTCTTTGTATTCACGAAAATAATTTAACTGTATTTGATAAAAGATTAGTGATTTTATTATTGATTATTATTTCAACTAATCTTTAATATCCTCATAAGTAAGAATTCTAGTCATGATTTATTATGTTACGATAGCTTAGATATTCAATAATATCTTTATAAAAAGAATTTGCGAAATTAAAATTATAATTATAGCAAATCCTCTGCCCATAGAGCACACCCAACAGTGCTTTATGAGAATGTAAAGGCGTCTCAATAATGGCTTGTGGATTATCATCACTAGAAATGCGAAATTTTTGTTTATTAACGTATCCTTGCAACCAGAAGTGAGCTTCCTCGCTTACCAAATTCGAATCGAACCGTTATTTTTTTGGTAATAATTGTACACGAATTGCAAACGTTGTGCCGGAGTAAGTCTGTTTGTTATGAAATGGTAAACCAAACTGTCGAAAAGAGTAACGGCCTGATTAGAAATCAGAAGGCTTAAACAAAGCACCAGCATTATATAACACAAGTATACAATAAATAAAACATATCAAAAGCTACAAGTTTCTGTAAAAATTCAGAAATCTTTGTCATGCATTACTTGGCACACTATACACAGAGGCATCAAATTATTTTAATTGTGGAGATGTCGGTTTTCGATAGTAGTTATGAAGAAAGACTTAGACTTATACTTGTAGTACCCAATAATGCAACTGAACATTTGCATTTGAACCAACGAAAGATCGAACCGATTTGCAAACGGCTGGTTTAAGGATATGGTTCTAGTAGGTCATAAAGAAAAAAATATTACATGAATCCTTTAGTTGAACGAAACTGATATAAGTAGTTCAGCATACAAATTGTAAAGCAAACTTAACTAAGCAATATTAATTATGCATATTTTTTTCGCAACCTAAATGCATTCTCTCGACAAAAACATTTATTCAACAAGAAACTGTTTTGCAAAAAATTCTTGGAGTTTTTTTAGTTTAAATAAGAATAGAGAGAAAAGTACTCAGCTAAGTTTGTTTAAGTTCTTCATAAATTATATAGTAAGCTTGTCAAACAAATTTTTTACGAGACATGACAACATGATGCAAAAGTAATCTGTTTCAATCACTAAAGCAACATGTGGAAATTTCATTCATTGCAATTGCTCAGTGCTCGAGCTAATTAAGCGCTAAATAAATGATTTTAAAGCATTCTAAGCAAGCTCTGGCTTTCAATGTTTAAATGAAGTCATATATTGGATAACTTTTATTATTTGTGAAGTTTCCTCTTTGGATCGATGACCAGTAATTTTTAAATAAGATGTACCTTAGTACAGTTTGATCGAATACTTTTGATTACAAACTTAAATTATGTAATACAAATATTTAAATTTTTATTGTATTACTTTAAAACAAATCCTAATTGCTCTCTATGCATGCCTTTACTGGTTGCTACTATCCATATTTTTCTCGAAAAAATGATGCGAACTTTCAACAAACCAATATATATTTAAATGTTTTTGTGCACAGACTTCAAAGTATTTTTATGCTCGTCTCTTCTCTCACTGCAAGGACACGAAATAAATAAATGGTTGCCAGTCATCGCTCTTTAAGATGTTGATGGCGTTGCCGCTGATTGTTATGTACTCTCGCTTCAATGATTTCCTTACAACTGCTGAGTTGGCTGCTTGCTCATTTTGCTAACCAATTGTCGCATTTGCTCGCCTGCTTAGTGAGACGCTCGCCCAAACAGACGAAACGGAAGAACGGACGCTGTGACGAATTGGTTATTTAGTTGATTGGTTGGTTGGTTGTGTGGCTGGTGAGTCGCGCGGTTGACTGCCTGAACACAACTCTGGCGCTTGTTGCTTGCGTTGTCGCTCTGCCTTTCCTGCGTTCTCACTCCTTCTTCTGCTGCTAAGCTGCTGCTGTCAATGTCACAGCAGCTTGTCATCGCATTGTTGCAATAATATTTGTAGCTGACTAATGGTATGACCCATTGTTGATTGTGTTGACTGCTGTTGGCAATAGTCGCTTAGTGGATTGGTTTGACCATTTCTGTTCGTCTGAATTACCCATACTTGCCTCATGCTTAAAAGCATCCTGGTTGCAATTTGCTCAACTCAAATATACTAACATATTTTATTCAACTCTCACTGGTGCACGAACGCATAAAAACATGTGACACACAAACAAACACACACATACATACTCACATGTATGTCAATCACACCCATTCGCCGCAATTCGTTTTGTCCTTATCAATGTTAATGGAGTGCAATCAGTGCAAAGTCAATATTTCTACACAGTCCGTTATAAATAAGTATATTTGCACAGTATAATCGTAAATTGTGTTTGTTGCTGTTATTATTACAAATGTTCAATGAGCAGTGACTAGTCAACGGATAAATGAACTGTGAACGTTGGTGTGGAAATAATTTCGATTAACTTGACGATTCGTTTAGATATAACAACAAGTGAAGAGAAGCGAAGTCCGCTTGGTGCCGAATATATATGTACGAGTATATATTCTTGCAAATTTAAAGAATTTTAAGTGACAAAAATGTCTCATAAAATTTGTAAAATTTGACGCCGGAAATTAGTGTGAAGGATAGAGACTTTCCATTTGGATGTCAAAATATCTCATGCCTCTCTTGCTAGAAAATTGGATATGGCTTTTCATATCAGATGAACGTAGTCCGAGTTTATGAAGAAGTTATTGGTCGTCTCGAATCAAAACATGAAAAGTGAAGAATTCTGAATTTTAATTCGAAAAATAATTTTTGTTGGACGCATAACGTTATGAACATTAGTCATTGGAAATTTATTTTGTGCACTTTTGAAATTTACATAAATATATGCCAAAATTCTGGATAATAAGAATTTCTATAACTTTTTTTATCAATGCCAAAAATTGCTCGAAATTCCAACCTCTAGACTAGAATAACTTCTTAAAATACTTTGAAGACAAATTCACTTTTATAAATCGCAAAAAATCTGCAACTGTTAATCGATTATCGAGTTAAAAGAATTAATTAATTTTTGAAGAATTTGAAATTTTTTTATATATAATATATTGTATAGTTTTGGAATTTAGAATCACTCTAATACTTTTCTAAACGCTTAAAATTAAAAGTATTTTAATATTTTTTCCTTTTCCATTTTCAGTTACAGAAAAAGAAATTCGACAATGGTAAGCCTTTAAAAAAAATTCAATAAATTAAAAAAATATACAATAAATATATACATATAAATGTTTAAAATTATTTTATATAAAATAGGCACAAAGGATTCCTGAAAGACTGTCCCAATGGTTTACTCACAGAGCAAGTAAGTTTTATGTATAAGAAGCCATATTATTCAAGAATTTTTTTTTCATAACGAAAAATTTAATTAGTTAAAAAAATGTAATATATCACACCAAAATTTGTAACTTTTTCTGAGCAACTGCGATCAAATACTACCATATCTTAGAATTTGTGTTCAATTCCTATCGCTTCTGTTTTATAACCTTAATAATCAGATGTGTAGCAAATATGCTCGTATGCTCTTATCTGTTCAGTTATTAATTGACAATTTTTACTATTTACTAAGACAATTGTTGACAAGCCCTTTTTGTGATAGAGATTTTGCGAATGGCAACCAATAAGCCAGTATAGCGAAGGCTAGACTAGTCGATCAACCCCAGTGGGCAACCAGAATGTTGCCTAAGGCTATTTACAAAAAAAGTCTTTAAAATTTTAATAGAAAAACCTTTAGTCGTAGAGTCTTTCATCGGTGAATACAAAACATAAACGTTATTATCGTTAATGAAGCGTGAAATAAAACACCGCTATTGGGGAAGGCTATTAGGTTATAGTTGCCTGTACATTTTCGATAGATATTATGGTAGCATATTATTTTAACCAAAGCTACTGAAGTCAGTGTACTTGATCACAACTCTGAGTTTAAATTTTTCGGACACATGGTTCAAAGTACTTTAAAAATATTTCACAACGAAAAGTGTAAATGTAAAAGTTACCTCAAATATTCATAGTAGATTAGTCAAGATAATTTGTGAAAGCAAAAAAGTCAATGTAGGATGAAATGCATTCAAAAGGAAAGATGAAAGAAAAATATTTACGGGCGATTTAAGGTCGGAACCTCCCCTTGTTGAATTATTAAGGGTAAAAACGGTTTATCGCGACTGCCGGCAAAACATGTCTTATATAAAAGAAATAATATGGCAAAGTTATAGACAATGAACAGATCTACAAATCAACAGCTTTCCACTTAACCTAAAAATTCATGTGAAATTTTCAAATATTCAAGTCTTGGGGTTTTTTATTTTTATCATGTACGAAAAACGTTCGTTCATGATATTTTGTTTGAACTTATCTTCGTATATTCCGAACATACTGTATTTTTTTATTTCAAATGTTAAGAAGGACATTTCATTTCGACTTAAGATTGAGAAAAAACAATTTTTCAAACAAAATACTCACGTTAAAGTATCATATATTTTTTTTCAATTTACTAGACCTTACGTTTGTTGAAATCTCTGCTTTCTGATAGCATAAAAATTATATTGATTACTTCAGCAAATTGTTTCAGAAAATGCAATTTATTCAAATTCCAAAATTTGTAAAATATTGAAACAGCTCAACGTGTTTACTGATTTTAACATATTTACATACTATAGCAAATGATGATAGTAATAAGTGATATGCATAGTGGATATCTACTCGTAATGTAAATTTTGGTATACTGTTATTGAACGGCTACTATACTCGCGCTATTTTAGATACGTAATTGGAGTGTAGGTAAATAAGGCAATACACTTTTAAATCTAGTAGTGTACGCTTAAAATCAACAGTTGTTCAGAAAAGTCTGCATAATATTTTAATTGTAGATTACTACAGTACAGTTAACATATTTATATTTAATTCTACCACATATTTCAGCAATTTACTAATTTTCCATACTTAACATTTTTATTCCCTTTTTCTCTGCTACCGAATAAAATTCATTTAACGTAAAATTAAAAAAACAAAATAAATAAAAAAACAAAAACAATTACAATTACATAATCCAAACAAATAACTTAATTGGCACTCGAACCCCTACTCGCTCGCTAATACGAAACCATAAAACATGTGCAACTTGACACTCGCTGGGAACTTTGCGGCAATAAACAACTGTAATGAACGGAAAATGCAAATGGATGACAATCTAATGTCGCTGATTGACACGTATTTGCGTATGTATGTACGCGCGTGCGAAAAACAACAACAACAACTATAACAATGCTAAAATAAATACGATTAAAATTGTACAACCTTAATTGTCGTTTGGCTGCGGGAATCGACGGCTCAATCGCATGGTGGCAAAACAACAACAAAAACGGATACGTACACATATATACGCACTTGTCTGTGCGCAATTTATATCGCTGACTTATGCTTCTCGTTTGTTTGGTGTTGTTGTTGGCGCCGCGAATACCAACATGCTGCTTGACTGACATCGCGGTCGTCACTGTTGTCGTGTATTTTTTGTTATCCACGCTTTTGCGCGCGCAAACAAAAACAAATCTGCTTTCAATTATACCATCTTCTTTCATTCGAACGCGCGTTAATACAATAAACAACTTTGAAATCAACTACTAAAAACAACATTGTTGCTGTCTTAAAAATTAAACGTATGTCATTTGCTTTCAAATGGTTTGCTCGCATTGCTTTCGCCATCAATCACAACCACCCGCCGCTACATACAATGTTACCCTTTACTATCACCATCACTGTCGTCGCGGGCACGTTGTCATTCCAATCGGTGTCATGTGTCACTATTTTGGCATGCGTTTGCGCGTCGGCGCTCTTCTACAAAACACTTTTCTTAACTCGAAAATGTTCAACGCGGAAACACACACAAACGCGCTTATAAACGTGAAATGAAAATAAACACTAACGCGCGCTTGCATGTGTGTCATATCTCGTTTGGTTGTGGTTTTGTGAAATATCTACTCATGTCACATGCGCTCCACATAACCTCCCCAATCGCTGGCTCATCTGTGCGCCCGCATGCGTTGGCTGCCACGGCGTATACGCAACATTTAATATTTGCGCTACAAAACTGTGACATTTACAAATGCGCGTGTATAATGACTACAAAAACAACAACAACAAAAACACCAACACATATGCATGTATAAATATACATATGTACATACCTTAGGGTTTTATTAAAATCTACAAACAATTCTTTCCGCAAGGCGATCCCAGTAAATTTGCCTCGCTGGTGTTTCGAGTGTTCGACGAGAATAATGTAAGTATATAAATAAGGAAGCACATATGCACTACATATTATATAAATATCTATAAAAAAGCACTGCACATTTCTCAACAAGTGCCAAGCTAAAATTGTATACTTCTATGTATGCGTGTGTGTGAATAAAAAGGACAGCTTATATTTGGATGTGTGTGCGAAACGGATGTAGTGTTTGCATGTGACTTTTCAGCGCAAAGTAGTTGTGCAAGAATGAGTGAATGAATGATGTTGATAAATGAAATAAGTTGATGCAATGAAATTTTGCTTAGTCGAGCAGCATATGCTGCCACAGCATGCACTCTGCGGCGTGGAACTTTGGTGTGTAGTGGTGTTGTGGGCGTGTAACCCACTCACTTGCATGCAATCACAAGGCAAGGCGACAAGAAACAAGCAGAAATAAATGTTTTCGAGCAAAATAAATGCCAAAAGTTTGACTTCGCGCCCCGGATATTATTTGAGTGGATTTGCCACTTAAGTTGCAGCTGCTGCTGCTTGTATGTATGCGTGACTTGTTTGCATTTTGCAACACTTAAAAACATACAACAAAAGTTGTAGCTATTTTTGGCATGCGTTGTTGTAGCTAATTTAAAGCTAATACCTTTTGAGTGTTGGACTTAAGGGAATTCGTAAATAATTTGACGATTATTTTCTATTCGGCGAATATGGCGTAGAGGATTATGAAATAAAAAATTGGTGCACTTATATCTGACTCTGGGTCATAAAAACTAAACATTAAAGTTAGATAAACCATTAATCCATAATATAAGATTTAGTAAAGAATAATCCATATTTATTCCAATACATGGCTTTATTAATCTGTATTACGCATTGTGCCTACAAGTGCAATCGGGTTGCTATATGCCATGAGAAAGACAAGATGCCGTACTGAAAAAACTGCACAGGTAGTTTTGTAATTTCTTGACTCAGTATGTTGTGAGCACGTCCTAAAGATGAACACCACCAAAGAGCAAATACGCCATAATATACAGCTTTTCTTCGATTAAAGCAAACATGCAAGTACGGCGGCCGAAAATCTAAATAGTGTGTACGGTTCAAATACTGTAACAGCAAAGTATCTGCAATTTTGGTTTCGCCGCTTCCGTTTCTGTAATTTTAATGTCAAAGTTGCAAAACGCGCCAAATGGCCAATTCTTGAAAGTATTGATGAAATAGTAGAAATAATCGAGCCCGTTCCTCAATCACCATGTAAGCACTGTTATGATTGCCCCGGAGCTAAACATTACAAAGAAACCATTTGAGAGGTATTTAAATGAGGCAAATACAAATATAACCTCATTGTATTGGTGCCACACGGGTAAATTCAAAAAACATCTCTTGGAACGAGTTTATATCTGAAAATCGCTGGTCAATCGCAACAAGATCAATCCATTTCTAAAGGCGGTGGTTATTGTATATGTTAGATTGTCTGAAGGTAAAAGTCGCCTAGCAGTGGAGAGGAAGTATGTTCCCTCAGAATAACGACAGGCCACACATATCGATAGTGACTCATTGAAAGCTCCCGAAGCTTGGCTGAGATATCTATCTATTCCTGTCTATGGCGAATCATGTGGCCATTGTCACAAAGTGGGTTCTACAATTTCACATGATTCTACACAAGTGTGACACACAGTGAAGAAAACTAGGCCAATGTTTTTGTGATCGACAGTTCCAATGGTGAAAGCTACATATTCTTCGATGGATCAAAGGTCATAGGAGCAGGAGCGGGCTTCTTCTGTATTAATCCATACTCAGAATGTAGCTTCAAACTCAATGACTACAGTTCAATCTTTCAGGCTGATATTGTGGGCATAACAGAAGATACCAAGAGGGCTTCTGGTTTAACCAGCAAGTACATAAACCTTCTAGTCAAGCGGAAATTAAAGCTATCCCTAGCGTCACTGTGTTAGGTTATGCAAGCAGGCAATAACTAGACTCTCAAAAGGTAACTCCACGGCTCCTCCTATTCCAACGTTGCTGGATATGGCTTAATTTGTTTACCACCCCGGAGCACAATGGGCCTGTTGATGGCCTAAGCGCGGTCGCTTGTGGTCTAGTGCTCATGCGTCTCCCTTTTCAACCAACCAGCCAGGAAATATCAGCTCGACAGAATTCTTAAAATTTTTTACAAAAATGTTCGCAACTTTATTGCAAGCAAAAATTTTCCTTCCACACAGAATTTAATACGTTTGTGATTCTACAACTAAGTCTTTGGTTGAGTACACATTAGATAGTTGAATATGATGAAGGAAAAATACAGCAATTTGTTTCATGAGTGATATTTTCATTGTTTGGTTTTCATTTCAACACACTGTACTACGCTCGGTTAGATATTCCACCTTTTTTTTCAAAAATTAATCATAAGTAAAAAACTACGTGTTAGTTCTCCTCTCCATTCTCCTCTGTTTTTCGCAGTTAGAGCTTAAAATCAAAATATGTGGGCCTTTAAAGTTCGAAATTTAAAAAGAAATACTAAAATTAGTCAAAAATTTCTTTTTCGTAGATCCGAGTTTGATCTCTTATTGCAACTGTCATATAAGTTTGACCAAATATTTTTTATTTATGACTCAATCGCTTTAAAGAATTGGTTTGGCCCAATACTCAGAGAAAAAGTCGTTATGCCGTAAAGTGTTATGAGTTAAGGCTAAATAGTTCTCTTTGCTTCAACTAGTAAGTCGAGTAGAGAAATATTTTCGCTAAGCTTTATTTTGCATTTGCTGCTTAGTTATAATTTCAACTCCAAAAGAAAAGAAATTAAAAAATAAAATATTAGTAATAATAACCAAAAGCTTTGGGCTATTTAAGCTACTTATGTATGAGCTTAATTTCCTAAGCCCCAAAAACTGTTACACGACCCTCGTACAAATACAATGAAACTAAGATTCAAAGCATACTTTTTTGTTAACGCTCATACCTCAGAAACTTCCCTCATAATATACAAATCTATAATGTCATTAATTAATTTCCAAATACATACATATGTTATATGCATACCGATGTGTATCATTCGTTTTGGCATTTTGCCTTCAATTTCGCCAATTTTCATTTTTATCGTACTCATAGGATGTCTCTCTATGGCTGCTACAATTATTTAATTAACTAATTTCATAGTAATTGAGGGATTATCGCCGCAAACCACAATAGCACAAATACTGCCTTTATTGGCAATGACATATCGATGGAATTGATGAATGGCTGGCGAAAGACCCAGGCAGATAATTGAGAAGCAACAGCAGAAAACGCAGACCGCAATGAGGGCGGAAATAATTAGAGCATAAACAAAATGAATGTCGATGTGATACCGAAACAAACGGTGAATGCAATGATAAGGCGGGAAATCGTTAAATATAGATATTTATATTAAAGTGGATAATATTATACTTAAAGAGGAGGAAACCGCTGGCATGGAAGGATTCGTGTATTATTCAAATATAAATAATTTTAGGGGTTATTAAGATTTTGTATAATTAATATTTATTTATTATTTACGGCGGCTATTTTTGATTGCTTAAAGAAAGTCTTCATAGTAAAAAACGTATACTGAATAAAGGAAAATATATTGTAACTAAGTAATATCTATAGTGGGAGCTTACTTGTAATTCTAGCTATACTACACTTAGGCCGAGTTCAAGCAGAACATCTTGCGTAAATATTATTTTCATATTTCGATAGGATAGCTAGAGATGGAGGATAACATACTCTTATTTTTAATCGATAGTTTTTGACGAATGCTATACCTTCTAAAGTGTAGCCGCTCAGTTCTATCAGCTGCGTCAGTTTATTCTTAAACGAGTTTTTCTCAAAACTACATTTTTCAGATTTGCGGAAGTGATACTCGAAAGCAAATGATGCGATCATTATCAAATTTCTTTGCATACAGTTTTCCATACAAAGTCCTACCAGTTGCTTGATTTGAATAAAAACCAAATTTTGGCAGACAGAATTCAACACCGCGATTTTATAAATTTTTATTATTTTTTAACTGCAGGAAATGTGAGTACAATATATTCCAAGGAGAATTGTTTTATTTTAAGTTTTATACACGGAAAGAGTACGCCTATGGAGAGTAACAGAATATACTAAACCCTAATCATAATTTGTGCCAAAAATATAGTTTTGTGATAATCTACAATCTTGTAGTGAGGTGTAGAGGTGAAGAATCATGGACCTGCGAATCCCAATTCTGTTCTGTTGACGTTGTTTTACCAGCAGAACACATTGTTCAAATAATTTTGAGAAATATATTTGATGACAATTTTTGGCCTGGTATAAAACAGGTCAATTTGAATGCGGATTCGACCCTAAGTCATCTTCACGACTATATTTTTCACCACGATTTTTTTTTATTACCATTATTTTCTTAATTTTTGCGTAGAAATCGCACTTATTTTACCCATAATTTTATTTATCCTCACCTCTAATCTAATAATATGAACAACAACAAGAACTGTTAAGGGAACGATTTCTTCTTTGTCGGCTATAACGATCAACCCTAAATAATTTACAAGAAATATCTTGCTTACTGGAACTCGTTCAAGAAATATAAATTCAACATATAAAGGGTTTCAAGAACTGTTAAATCAAAATGAGTTCGTAAAGTATAATAAAAATCTTTTGAACAGGATGGAAATAGTAGTGCTTATAAGCGATTCTTACATTGTCATATCTTTTCTTAACTCTGGATGATTTCTGAGCGTCAGTTTAAATATGTGTTTTGAAATATCAGGAGGATGTGGTAGTTGATAATTAACTGTGGAGAGGCAGCATGATTTTAGTCGGATTCCAACAGTATCGAAATGGAAACTATCTGTTTTTTGAAAAACTCATAGCAACTATTTGCAGGCCACATAAACTGCGCTTCGCCTTTCTGACCAACTGTGCTATATATGTAGGTACAATTGTAATCAAAAGGTAAGGCGAGGTGATTATGATGGTGCACTATAATATCCTTCCATCGGCCCAAACTGTCAACAAAGAATATTATTTGCGTCAAGCTATTCGACTGAAAAGGCCGGAATTATTGGCGAATGACTCTAGGTTTTTTCATCACGGTAATGCACCATGTCATCCTGCATTAGCTCTTCGCGACTATTTTGCTAAGAATTCGACTTATATCGTTTCGTAACCAACGTATTCGCTTGATTTTGCTCCGTGCGACTTCTGCCTTCTGGCACCAAACCGAAAAGGCTAATGCAGGATGCCGATTGAGGAGATAATAAGCGAATAGAAGAAGGTCTTAAAGGCTATACCGGAAAAATACTATTCTGACTGTTTCGAGACTGGAAAAAGCGTCCGTTTTTTTCGGACGTGGATTCGCTTTTCTTTTTGATCACAGCAGTATACGATATATGTACACAAGTAATCACCACAGTAGATTTTGTGGTGGATGACCATAACTTCGAAATTAGTACAATAAAAATGAATATTTGAAACCCTCATCATTTCTAATCCCAAAACCACCTTTAAAATCAAGTGTACAATCGCAGTTATCCAAAGCATCAGCTCAAGGGTTTATAGTAAACCGTATTATTTTGTCACTGGTACATTGTGTGGAACCTTTACTCACTCACCAACATATCTCAAGCGTTCGGTCACCTGGGCTAAGTGCACTCAAGCTTAGCTGCTGCTGACTTGTGTTTATTTTTATTTTTTTCGAGTATTCGCCGTCGCTGCTGCTGCTGCTGCAAATGCTGTTGCCACAGTGTCTAGGGACATTCTGTTGATTTATGGATTAATTTCGGTCAGCAGAGCTAATTATATAACTTTGTGTGTGTGCACGTTTTTGTGTGGTTCACAGTTTCGGTTACGGCTAACTGACGGGTATTAGTACACATAGCGCAAACAGGGTGACCCTATTATAAGTTTTGTTTCAGCTAAACTTTTTCAAATTTTTGATGGAGCGCCAAATGTAGGCAAAACTTTACTATACAGATGTTGCCTACAATTAGGCGCTTTTTTATAGTAGACTTTTAGTAGTTATTATGTTTTATTCTTAAAGCTGTAGTAATATGCAGCGAAAACTAACTTTAATAGTCTCTTAAGTGAAAAACTTATCTTTGCAGTTTCATAATTTATTTTTCGGTTTTCATATAACCCTTTGTACGTTTTTTTTATGCAAGTAGGAGGGAACTAACATGCATATATAGGTATATGATATGTTATTATAAATTATGACTGGAGTGACATGCCTCTGAAGGGTGTGTGGTGAAAGTGAGTTATGCTGCAATTGCTGTTATTTTAATAATGACCAGTACATTGTTTATACCCAGGCCATTTTATTCTCATTATGTCACACACTGGCATTTCATAAAATATGATACATAATGTTTCACTTTTTTTCTTTTACTTTTTACTCCTTCCACATATCTATTCGCATTTGCTTACGTCCGCAATTGGTGCCTTTGGACTGCGTGAAATCTTCACAAATTGCTGTTATTTGGACACGACAAACACACTCAAACCCTCCACAGGATGGCTCAATAGAATTTGAGGAGTTCATACGCGCCCTCTCCGTGACATCGAAGGGAAACTTGGATGAAAAATTACAATGTAAGTTTATTGCTATGATTGTATTATGCTTTTTCGTGTTTCTCCCTTTATCGCCATCTTTAAGTATCGCTCTATCGATTGCACATAAATATTATTGAAAGCTTTGACAGTGAGTAATGTCCAACTGTAGGTGGAGAATTTATTTACTTGTTTATGTCTCGGTCATGCCGTTTCATTGTGACATACATACATACATACATACATAAATTTGTGTATATATATCCAAATATTTCGAGTAGCGTAATCACATCGATTTTCTCTTATTGCCTGGCTTCGCTTTTAGTGAAGTTTTTCTGCGTTGCCTTGCTTGGCGGGCTTACCACTCCAATTCTCGTAAAACCGCCGTGTTCAGTTGTTAATTTTCATTTCTCTTTTATTCCGTTTAAATTGAATGTCGCCTATTCTCGTTGTTGCTTCATAAAATATTTGCTTTTTTTTGATTTATCACACACGAATTTCTGCATAATTTTTGACTGTTCGCACAATTTCACAATTGGAATTTTATTGCTGCCATATTATTGAGTTTTTCTTTTTATGAAATATGGCAAGGTGCTCTTGGGTATAAACATTTTATGTGGGCATAAAAGCATTTTCGTGTAACAGATTTATTTGGCTTTGCGGTCTTTATTAACCAATGAAATTAGAGCAATGAATTTACGAAGCATTAATAATAAAAATTTTACACGACATAAAAGTGAAATTTTTATAGTGAGTACTTTGGAGTATATAATTTTTATAACTTATAGGAGAGGTTAAATACATCCTCCTTTTTTCAGTTGTTATTTTATGATGAAGTTAAAATAATTTTCAAGTTAACACACAAAATATTGTATTTATCAGAACATAAAAATATATTTATAAAATGGACAGGACTTTGGGCCAATGACGTTGATTACTAGATTTATATATTAGTAGTTATATGTAGATATGAGTACAATAAAAATACTATAAGCCTGATTATAAGAATGTTATGTATTTATTCACTATAAATCTGGAAGAAATATCATTATGCTACCCAATATTCTCGCTTCAATTTATTAAAGTATATCGCACGGCATATATACGGTTTTAAAATTAAGTTAAAGTTAAAGTTTGAAAAAATTTATATTGAATACATGAAGGGTAGCGGAACGTTTTATAATATTTGTTTTTGTACCAAATCATCTTCTTTTCAAAAATATATTCATCAAACTTAATTTTTCGATAAACATCGGAAATAAAACCAATAACATGTAGATCAACACATTTAAAATTCGTTTTTTCTATTTTTGTTTAAAGAGGTATTTTAGTTTATAGTTAAATAACAACATGTAAGGAAGAGCTAAGTTCGGGTGTAACCGAACATTTTATACTGCCGCAAGGATTAAACCCGGAACATACCTTCAAGTGTCTTTATATTAAGCTTAGGAAAGTATCGTCGTGATTTCACCTTTGAGCTAAGACGATGCACTGTTAATAAAAAGATTTTCTTTCTGAATTTCATTAAAATTTCCTACATATTTACCGGTAGACGCGTTCTAAAGTCAATGGGGATTAAGAAAAGTATTGTCCAAATTATACCCATTCTTGGCACAAGGGCATTCTCTCACCACAAAAATATTCTCCCCGAAGATCATTACTTAACCTCACAGCCTGACCGATACGTTCGGAAAAAAATCAGCCAAATGCCCTGTGGTCCATATATTTAGTGCCTGGACCTCTAATAAGCCATTTGCCAAAAACCTTGCCGGTTTGATAAAAGCTTTGAAAGAAGTTAAAAAAAACTCAACCTTACGACAAAAACTCGTCTGGACGTTGATGTAATTTTGAATATATGAGCAAATTTGACTGCGTTTTCTTCCATAGATCAATGCCACCATCTACGCTGAAGTTAGAAGTATAGAAAACGTTCTTGTGGATTTGGAATATCTGCACGACCAGTGAAAAGTAATTTATAATGAATGCAAAATTGCTGCAGATAATTTAGAGCATGTCGAGACGATGTTACCATCGGCAAGAAAAAAAAAATACGGAAACGACCTACTTGAAGAAGTGGATGAAAATTGCAGTAAAGAACAAATTGAATTCAAAAGAAATACACTCTATGTCATACTTGACAGATAACGTTGTGGAATGAAAAGAAGATTCGCCGCAGTGAGTGATATACATGAACCGTTCTCATTTCATTGTCAGTTTCATGATACGTAAAAAGTGCAGCTGCAAAAAATTTTGTATCTGATAAGTTGTCAATTGAAGCTCACACATGTTTGCTATGCAAATTTTGAAACGCGTCTTACTCCACACAAGTTATTGAATGTCATCATTGCTCGAAAATAAGGAAAACTTTTCTGAAATATTTGCATCGCTTTGAGATTATTTTGCGCTTTACCCTTTTCTGTTTCAAGTGGTGAACGTTCATTTAATGCTTTAGTTAGGATTAAAAATCTGCATCAATCATGCTTGTCATAGGGCCGGGTTTCAGCACTGACTACACTGTGCCTAGAAATAGAATTAGCCAAGAAGTTGGATTTCCAGACTATTATCGAAACATTTGCTGCCGCCAAAGCTCGAAAAGCTCACTTCTAAGTTCCAAATAATTAAAGATTGAAGAACTTTGAACTGCAGGTTTAAAAAATTAAAGCTGATAGTCAACAGATTTCAAAAGAACTTTTTTTTCATTAATTAGCTCCATTATCGTTTGAATGAGATGTTACTGTCTTCTTATTAACTGTCAAGTTTTGCCGTTTCTATATTAACATATTCTAGTATAATTCTTTTTTTTAATGAATTTCTATGTATGAACTGATTCATACATTATTGATTTTCAAAATCGTACCAAACAAATTTTTTCCAGCCAAGAGCAACAAGAACGCAAATTTAGCACAGATGTGATGAGAGCATACAACACTACGACGAATACTTCAAAATGATTAAAGTACTTTGTAAACGTTAGGGGATGGGAGGGATCCCTCCACCTTTTCACCCCTGGGCTCGGTTTTTCTCTCGGCGGCCCTGGATATTTTGAGATTATGCAAAATATAGTTTTTTCAAAGTTTTTTAAGGCAAAGTAAGGAGTACCGACAAAGAAACATGTTTCAATCACAGATGAACCTTTATAAAAGGAAGACGAAAATTCTTTAGGCTAGGTTATACTAGTAGTATCGTAGACGCCGCATAGACTAATTTTTGTCCTTAGCGATGCCAAATGGAGTATCGTTAGTTTATGAGAAGTAGTCGTACTTAAGATGCCAGCGCTTGATACGAATTTCAGTAATTTCTTTAGAGCAAAACTAAAAGAAATTCAATAAAAAATTAAAGTTTTTTTGTTAGTCTGAGTAAAATGAGATTTTAAATCAAGAATTAATTAAATTTCGGAATGGCTTTCGCGTATACAAAACCCTTCAATCACATACACAGTTTACGTATATGAAGAATGCTTCGCTTAAATCGCCCAATAGTAATGTTTTCGCTCGTTAAAAATAATATACGTATACACTTTAATATTCTTTCCAATATTAAAAAAAAGTATGTGTCGGCATTGTGCGGCCTGTAGCTGCACTGTGCTGCATAAAATATTTTCTACCCATAATTGTCTTTCGCAGCATTACAATTACATTTTACGCCAACAATTAAACACAACAGAATGTTTTTTACAATAACGGTAATGCTGTCATATTCACATATGAATGTGTGTAGCGTGGATATATCACATATGATTGCGCTCACTTAATCCGCTTAATGACAGTTGACAATTTCGCAAATACTGCGAATTTATTTATTTATTTACGCCAATATTTGGGTTGTGGGGAAAAACTTTACTCATTTACATGTCAGTTGAATAAATATTGAAATAAATATGAAATTACAACATTTTCATATACATAAACAAACCCCGTTCACAGATATGCGCTTACTGAAACTTTTATATATATGTATATGTATGTGTTTATGCTAATTCTCATACAATATTTAGATCACTTTATATTTAAAATTTCCATATGTGGTATATTAATATTTTTCCCTCTCTCCCTGTCACTTATATATTCGTTCGCTATTATTTATGAAATTTTTCCGTTACCTTTTAGGGGCTTTCCGGTTGTACGATGTTGATAATGACGGTTACATAACGCGCGAGGAAATGTACAATATTGTGGATGCAATATATCAGATGGTGGTAAGTTGGGTTATTAAAAATTTCAATAAATAATCTTGTTATTGTATTTGCATAAGTGTACATAAGTGTGTGCATTAATTTGTGGGAGATTAAATTGTAAATTATGAATAACGGTAGTTTTAGAGAAAGATCAATTTATAGCAGATATTAAAGCAGTACTCTGTTTAATTAATGATATGTAAGATAGTACATAGGTGAACGGGAGTACAAAAAAGTATAAACACTTTGAGTGTCAAATCGCTTTTTTGAAATCAAACTAAAATTAGTAGAATTATTAGACTCTGACAGTGGGTAATGAAACATCTTTAGCCTACGAAGATATATAAAATGGATTCTAAAGAGATTATGTTAGGTTATTCTCGTCAGCTGACACACCATACATACCTACTGGTTCTTAGTAATGCCAGATGGAGAAGCAGTTCAATTTGAGTTGAAGTATTCGTCATAGAGGACATCTACGCATTTTGCGAACTTCAAGTGCGACTTGATATAATATCTAATTTTAATACTTTATCTAGTCCCGTGAACTGCGCAGCTTCTAGATATCTTAGTTATAAATAAGGCTGTACAGAAGCATAGTAGGTGTTCCAGCGTCACTCTCATAACTACTTATCTGCACTTTCTGCATGTAACGTCATTACTTATACATATTCGGCTTATCGTTTTAGTGACATCCGTATTTCTTGTATTGATTCGGTAGCCAGACGCCTGGCTATCGACGTATATGTTGATCTTCTTTATGTTGTTTCCTGCGTTGTTAGCTATGTCAACCGTTGACATCCGCTTGGAAGATACTGCGGTACTCCGGAAGTTTGAAGGGTGGCCTGAGATCATATGTATGGATGTTGTAAGTTCCTCTGGCGAGTCGCATGCTCCAGAGGCATGCACCCTCTTTTCATGTAGTTTTTGTTGTTGTAAAGATTACCTAGTCCACGTTTGGGTGATAAATTCCAGATTCGTTGTCGTCGAGGTCATCTAACGGGAGGCCCAGGAAACGAGCTGTTTCGACGGGGTCGGACCATAGGGAGAAGGGTGTTAGATGAGTGGGGTTTGTTGGGCATGCAAAGAGGTGGTTAGTGTCATGCGGAGACTCATTGCACGCATGGTATGTCGGGGTCTATTCTGGATAAGAAGGAGTTTAACCTGCTACAGTATCCAGAACGAAGTTGGGCGAGGGTCACTTTGGTTTCGCGAGGCAACTCGAGCTCTTCATCTGCTATGGGTGGTGGTTTGACTCGTAATACGCCATTCATTGAGAGGGAGCCGGTGAAGGTGTTGATGGCTCCACTGCGAATGGCGGTCAGTGCCTGTTTGAAGTTCGTTGCGTCCGAAGTCCGGTCGGCTTACTGTCTAATGTCGTCGACGTAATCAAGGAAAGACGTCTTGATGTTCCTAGGAGGCGGCTCCGCTACAAGCAGGCGACTACAGGGGATGGTTTCTACGAAAACACCCCAGCAGAAACTGCTTGGAGAGGAGTTCTTTAAATTTTTAGGGTTGTTTACCGTCGGAATTTTGGTGCCATCGACTGAAATGTTTAGATCCAGTCTGTACTCCATTGCCCGACGTCAATATCGTGCAGTCATCAGCGTACGAGGTCAACGAAATTCCCTCTGGTGGTTGAGGGAGTTTCGAGATGTAGAAATTAAACAGTAAAGGGGAGAGGACTCCACCCTGCGGAACCTCCTGTTTAATTCTTCTCAGTTTGGAGTTTTGACCTCGAAACAATACGGATGATTGCCAACCGCTCAGGTAGTTCATGGTCCACCGCTTCAGCCCTGAAGGGAACGTAGATTGTTCGATGTCCTCGAGTAGCGTTGTGTGGTTGACTGTGGCAAAGGCTTTCGACAAGTCCAACGCTACGAGGATCGTGCTCTTGCAAGGTGGCTTCTGGTTTAGGCCATGAATTATCTGGGCGTTTATGACGCTAAGTGTTGTGGTGGTGCTGTGCACTTTCCGGATGCCATGCTGATGTTCTGCTAGACTGAGGTGGTGAGTGAACATCGGGAGTAACAAGGCTTCAAGCGTCTTCACTACTGGGGAAAGGAGAGTTATCGGGAGATAAGACTACCCTTTGTTGGCGGGTTTCCCAGGTTTCAGTAGTGGGACCACTCTTCCGACTTTCCACACATTGGGTATTTGAAGAGTCGCCATCGACAAGTTGAGGACCTTGGTGAGATAGTTTACTCCCGTCGAGCTTAGATGTTTTAGCATCAGCATGCTTATTCCGTCAGAGCCAATGGATTTGGAGGATTTGGCCTTTTTGATGGCACTCTGAACCTCCCCATCAGTGAAAGTAAGTGGCGCGCGGTCTTTTGGCATTTTGCGCAGCCGTCGGGTAACACATCGTTTGGCCTTGTCAGTCGAAGGGTGCAGTTTAAACTGCCGGCTAAAATAGCTCGCGCACTTCTTCGGGTCCAAGGAGGCATGGCCATCGAATTGAATTTCAATCCAATCGTCATGTCTCCTCGGATTTGACAGGGCCTTGACAGTAGTCCAAAGCTTATTCACACCGGTGGAGAGGTTGCAGGACTTCAGGTGCTCTACCCATTTTGTCCGCTTATGATGGTTTACCATTTGCCGAATCTCCAAATTGAGATCCCTTATTCGGGGATCACAGGGATCGGCATGGCGTAAGGTGTCCCGCTAGTTTGCTAGTACAGCTGCTTTGGCTGGGAAATTAGGGCGGAGTTCCGCGATTCTTCCAGCCGGTAAAAAGCGAGCAGTAGCAGCAGCGATCAACTTGCGGAATTGACGCTCGCCAACGATGACGTCCGTAGGAATGGGTAGTGCGTTGAAGGTGCTCTCGGTAAATTCTGTGAACCCGACCCAGTTAGCTTTGTTAAAGTTAACAAAAGTGCGGTTGTTCACAGAAATAAAGTTAGGAGGTTTCTCGATCGAGATAATTATGGGCAGATGGTTTGATGCGAGAGTTAGCATAGGTCGCCAGGTTATTTTAGATTAGATTAGATAGTGATTGAGGTATGCACCGCGACCTATGGTCTATTGTGCCCTCCCCTAAGTCACAGCGACTCATCTAGCCCTAGCGTATTGATGAATTCCAATATACTGCTAGGCGCCAATGAGGCGATGCGATCCCTGTTTGGAAACATGGATCCCAGTGCCTTGACTCTACGTCTGCAGACAGGTTATTCTAGTTAAATCTTAGAAAATGTGCTTGGGTGAAGAATATGCTTGTTTTATCGTCATTTGTTATGGACCTGCCTATAACGACAGCGGTTTTAGATGGACTAAGAAACGAAAAAATTTATTATTTTAAATAATACCCTTCAAAAGAAGAGAAAGAATAAATATTGTTTGGAATATTCAATATTCATATAATACATATATTTTCTTGCTTGAGATACAATTTTTAAGCTTTAAAAGAAGTAATTAAGCCGCACTATATTTTGTTAGTATTAGTCAGATGTTTCTTCCAGAAGCAAACTAATTAATCCTACTAGCTATACGTTGCAACTTCATAAAAACTAACTATAAAATGCTTCCATCACAATTCACTTATTTTTTATAAAACAAAAATTTTTCTTTGTTTACTAAAAGTTTATTTCCATATTTTTTTTTCCTTCATACAAACAGGGTCAACAGCCGCAATCGGAGGATGAGAATACGCCGCAGAAACGTGTGGATAAAATATTCGATCAAATGGATAAAAATCATGATGGTAAATTGACATTAGAAGAATTTCGTGAGGGTAGTAAAGCTGATCCACGTATAGTTCAGGCGTTAAGTTTAGGTGGTGGTTAAGACACTAATGCCAACGAACGACTGCAAACTACGTAAAAACGAACAGTAAATTTACCAAATAATATTTATGAGAAATGATAGAATGGGAGTAAGGGTCAGCAATAGCGCTGAAAAAAATTTATATAACTTAAAACAAAAATTGAAAAAAAAATTCATAAATGGCTCGCTGCAATAGTTTGCGCTGAAATTTAAGCAATCAGTTTTTTTTACAAGAAACTAAAAAATTTTTCAAAACGCTCTTTAAGTGTTAGAATTCTTACTTTTTGCATAAATAAAAATACATTTTTTTCAATAAAATATACTTAAAAATTATTTTCACGAAACTTTTGCTATCAAAAAAACTTGCAAAACGAAAAAAGCAACACTTTCAAAAATTAATAATAATAATTAATTAAAATAATATTATAATAAACATACATAATGAGCAATTTAGTAATTTTTATGGACAACATATATGAGATAATAATTTTTTGCAAACAATTTTAAAACTAGCGTATAGTTAAAAAACAGTAATATAAATTTATTGTGAAAAAAATGCGTTCATTAGTATGTATCACTTATACACAACAATTGGACAGCGAATAAAAATTTGAAATCAATTAGCAATACAAAGCGAATACACCAATTATTAAGTAATTAGCAACAAAAAAAAATAACAATAAAATTTAATTAACAAAAAATAAATTGTTTTCATGCAAACGAAAGTGTCTAGTGAGAATGTCATAAAACAAGCCTTCATTATATTTATAAATAAATATAAATATATAATTGCATAATAAATAATAATTATTAACCAATCATAAAATTGATTAAACGTATTAAAAAGTTAGCAATTAGCCTTAATGCATATTAGCATGGCCTTATGGCTTTGGCGCTGAGGAAGATGGTGAGGATGACGAAAAAAGTAGCATACATATAGGCGTTAGGACAATTAGTAGCACAAAATATATAATTCGTAGATATATATTTAAGCGTGAAGTTGTTCAATGGAGTTTTCGAAATGAAGTGCGATATTATTATATATCGTTGCATACTTTTAATATAAGGGAGTAGAGCAAAGTCTAAAGTTGTGCTATGCAAAAAGTATCATACTTTTCAAAGCCAAAAGAATCTTTAGTGGAAAATTTCTTCAAGGCTATAGCACGCTAATGCATACATTAAGGTGATGTGAGTTACGTCGAAAGCGTTTGAAAGTTAGCTTTAGTGTAGCAAAGTGCGGCTTTTACATTTTTGGACTCTCGCAGACGTACGCAACGACAGCACTGTGTCGAATTCCATCATACTAAGATAATTTCTATTCTATGTGCGGTTCAGCTTTATTATTATTTCACTAAATTATTAAAAGAGTGTATAGTAAATCAATCTACAAATTGTACAATATTTGAAATATTTATTATTGACAAATAATACCCATGTATATGAAACCATGCTCTACAATATGAAATAGTACATGCTTGAAAGAAAAAATAACCTATAAAAATACAAAAATAAATATATAACTAAACAAAAACCTCACCGAAATTCTTCAAAAATACAACAAATACAGTCTGTAAAAAATATGTTTAACCACTACAACAGAAATTAAATAAGTAAAAGGTATTTCAGTAAATTTATAATAATAAAATTAGTGCTGTTGAAAACAATACAGTGAAATATACTTATACATAATTGTATAGAATGGTATGTAAAAATCGCAATTAATGCAAAAAGTCAATGCGCAAACCAGCTATGGTAAATATATGGACCTAAACATTTTTCATATGTTAAGTATGCACAAAAATTATTCAGTTCAAACTTATGTATATATACACGATTTAAATAATACCAAATACCACCATTGTGCTTCAGGCACATGAAAACCGCAAATTATCAAAAATTTGTATCGAAAAGGAATAAATATTTCTCACTTGAATATCGTTGGGATCGGCGTACAATTAATAATCAGACACCATTGGAACGATAATATTTGCTGATGAAATTGAATTATCTAGCAATTTTTTCTTATTGCGTGGCACAAGCATGATCCTTTTTGAAACTAAGAATACCAAATACGCCAAAGTTTAACTATTTTTAAAACCTGAAACAATTGGGTAAATGTATTTCGAAATAAAAAAAAACCTCAGATATATAAAAGCAGTAATACAAATCAGTCGCGGTAGATTTTGGTCTGACATTTTGTTTATATTTTTCATATACACTAAGTATTGAGGGTTGCCACCCAGGTTGACCTTGCTGCAGTGAAAACAATTAATTGTCAAACATTTTTTACTCTAAAGCAATACTTTTAAATTTCGAAACCTAAAATGAACTTTCAAAAATCCAATTTTGTATCCCAGGGTTATAACCATTTGTGAATTTAAAATAAATTACAGATTTGATAATATTCTTCGAAAATTTTAAGTTAATCAGCAAAAAATTTCGGTGATATGAGCGTATTAAAAAAATTGTTTTTACTTAGTATAATCGGCTCTCAGAATTTAAAACGCTTTTTCTCCAAACACTGTTTTCGGAGTGGGAGAGAAAAATTTTCTCGAAACGGCTGAACTGATCAACTTAAGAATTCTTAGGTATATTTGTCGCAGATGATAATGATCAGAGGAATACCATTTTTAGTAATAATTTCGATTTTTTGAGCCGCTCTATATGTAGATTTCTACATAAAAATCAAACTTTTGTTGGGAAGCTGTCATTTTGGTAACAATAAAAATTTTGACAAGTGCTTAGATCATTTTCGGTATTCATCTACAGTAATCATAAAACTTTTTGGGTTTTGGATTTGAGAAAATTTTAAGCAAAATGATCGTATTTACCGCCGACACCACTATTTCGAGGTCCCCCTGGAGATAAACGCCGCTTTTTTTAAACATTTGTTTATTAAATAAAATATCTCCTTGAAAAATTAATAAAAAGGGCATTTTATGGAATTTCAAGTGGATATAACCATTTGATAAAGGAAGTAAAAATAAAAGTAAAAAATAAATAAAATGTATAATTTTCTTAATTTAATTTAAATCGGTTTTTTTTAAAGTGCGCTGTTATGCAAAAATTACAAATTTCATATAAATTTCGAAGTATTGAAAGCACTTGGTTTTTTTCAAATTTACAAATCACTTTTAACTACTTTAAAAAAGATGCTGCGTAAAAACATTTAAGCAAATATTAAATTTTTCAAAATTTAGAAATTGTAAAACTACACACTTGAAACCACTTGAAAATAATGCAACTAAATTTAAACAAATTTTCTAAGCAATGGCTAAAGTCAATTCTTATAGTTATTACTATGCTAACCAAAAGTATAAAACACCACAAAAATACTACAACTATTTAGAACTCAGTTACTTGTATGTAAACACAAAGCACTAATATACTACTTACTATAACGATACACATTATTAGAAAACTATATTATGTAAATTACATTGCATTATATATTCATAAAAATATATAGTTAATTAAATTTAGTGATGAAGTAAATAAAAAATAAGATATCTTTAAAAGCAATATTTTAAAATTGAACAATATATATACAGTGAAGCGAAAAACATAAACATATGTATATAAAAAAAATTAAGAAAAATAAATAAAAAATGCAAATAATTAAGTTGAATATATAAGAAAAACAATATAATAAAAATAAATAAAAAATTCAATTAAATTATAAACACAAGAACACCACTTCGAAGACACACTGTGTCCTACTGTAAATGCAATTAAAGAAACCAAGGCAATTTTCTTTCAATTATATTATAAATGTATAAAAAAACAGTGATTATGGTGTCAATAATGTCGTCAAATTGCATAAAATAACAATATACCAAACTTACAAAAAAAAACTTTGTTTTGCAAACAATTCAAACTTTATAAAAATAAAAAATAACAAAATAATTTGCAACCTAAATTAAAGCATATTTATACGGCGAGTGCTGTAGTAAAAATATAAAAAAAAAACAGCAAAAAGTTAATGACAAGTGGCGGCACTAATGAGCATTATAAATATGTGCATAAAAATAATAGTAAAATAAAACACGATAAACAATTAAAATGTAATATAAATACAAACAATATTTGAAAGCGCAATAGTTTAAGAGGAAAAAAAATAAAAAACAGTAAAATTTACTATATTAAAACTTATATATATATACAATTTTAAGATAATATAAATAAAAAGCAAACAGCAACAACACATATACTTATATATAGTACATACAAATGTAATTTTCTTATTTTTACTCATTTATTTATTAACTAATTTAGTTTTTTGAAAAATATATTTTGTTGTTAATATTATATATACTATACAAATTACAGTAAAATACCAAAGAAACAGTGTGGCGTGAAATTATTCCGAAATAAAATTTTCTGCAAACATTTATTATTATATCTTTTGACTTCTACTATCTATTACTGAAGAAAATATTACGAGCTGCAGAGCTAAATAGAGAAGGAGCAATCTTCAAAAAGAGTGTACAGCTGCTGGCGCATGCCAATGATATTGATACCATTAGACTCAACTGCTTGTTAAAGACTGGTTGAGAAAGGCAAGCTTATGAAACTCTTTGATAGTCATAACTTTGAAGTCGTAGATAAAGTCATCTATCTTAATATCTAAAATCCAACGTAGAATGACTATCGTTCACAGGTGCAACTTTGAACTGAGTAGGCAATTGCAAAGTAAAGCTTTTTCTCGACGAACTAGATTATGTTGTCCGATTGGATGAGAACACTTCAGATTTGAAAGTACGTAGGTTGTGTTTTATATTACAGCATTTGACAAACCACAACTTAATCACAAAGTTTGACATTTTTGATGTTATACATATTCAGAACGATTTGAAAAACGAGCGCTACTTGTGTTATTTACAGTAACTTCAAATATTCATCTTAATTAAACAACAGTAGAACAAGTCAATTCTGATTGGTACGCAACCATTTGTTTGTCAGTTGTCTTTCAAGAAACCCGCAAACCCAATCACTCTTCACCACGGCAAGGCGAGCTCTCAGACATCGACTGAAACAGCACTTTAGAGCACTCAAAACATCGATGAGATGAGTCATATAACGACACTTGAAGTGGCGGTTGATGAAGACTTTCACTCCATTAGAAAAACCAGGTGGAGAAGGACCTGACTACACTTGGTATCTCCAATTGACGCCTAACAGCGAAAAGAAGAAACGACTGGCACGGTGTTGTTAACTAGACTATATAATTATCTCAGCTTTATAGTTTCTGAATTATACTATTTACTTGGTATTAGTTTGAAGCAAAACGTGTGCAACCATTGATTAGGTAAAGTTTCGAGTGTTCTTCTATTAAAGCGTTGGGCCAGTCTGCAATCTCAAAAAAGGCCTCACTGTAACAATTTATTCTGAGAGTAAGGAAAACAATTTTTATATTGTCGTATTGATACAAAATGAAAATCAGTGGGTCAATCTTCGGAGGGTCTCTACTGGCGAGGGAAATTAGATGAAATTGATCTATTTGAAAAACTGAAGCTAAAATATCCTTCATAGATGGATACCTTATATGTACTATAAAAGAGCATAACAATGTCTTTATTCAAATAGACAACGACAACTATATATTACAGTGGTATACATATAGTATCGAGAAAACGTCGGATGCAAAATGCACTCACCTTGAAAGCTTGGACAATGCAAAGAGACCTTCAGTGAGGGGTGTCTAAGAATCGAGTGTTTAACGATAAATCTGTTGACCAGTGGTGAGTTTTAATCGAAAAGTTTTTTGAATTTCGATATATTCTAAAGAAAAAATCAAAAGAAAAAATATTATCTTCGGTTGCATCGAAACTATATTAATCTTCACTAATAAAAAAGATTCAAAACATGAACTTGATTTTGCTCGATCAGATTGTATGGCAGCTATATGCTATAGCTATATCTAGT